GAAACTTAGTCAAGGAAGCAGCTACTTGGCTATAATTCTGAATGAAATGACGGTAAAGGTTTGCAAAATCAAGAAAGCATTGTAGGTGTTTCTGAGACGTGGGGACTGGCCACTCAATGACTGTCTTTATTTTTGCTGGATCTGTCTTCACCTTGCCCCCTGCAAGTATGTAACCCAGAAATGACATGGATGATGAATGGAATTCACAGTTTTATGCTTTGACACATAACTTATTTTCTTGCAGCCTTTGGAGCACAGCATGGACATGGACCTTGTGTTCATTTAGATCAGGGGAAGGCAACCTTTCTGATGACGAGTGCCATCTAAAATTTCCTCAGCAGCTAATGTGCCATATAATTGCATTAGCAATAAATTTAATAACGCTCTATATTAACAGTTACACAATATATAGAACCACTATATAGAATTATATTTGTTCGCAGATGTTTGTAGCTATCAGCAAATAGTTATCAGCTATTTTGAAACAACAAAAATACACTTTTTATCCATAACAGCAAATGAACTGCACAACAGAAAATGCAAATGCTATTTATGGTCTCTTCACAACAATGATAAGAAAAATAAACTTGGCCAATATGGCATGTTTGTTGATACAGAGATACACATGTTAATCTAATCTCTGGTCTTCCACTCAGAGACACAGGTCTCAGAGTGTCCAGCATTCAGACGGCTACCTAAGGACACTCTTCATGTGAGAGAAAATCTGCTCACACAGATCTGTAGAGCCAAGTACTGTCAATAAGGCCTGTGCAATGTTCTGAAGATAGTTAAACTTGTGAGGTAGTGATGTCCAGCAGGTGAAAATGCAAGCTCCATGAACACGCACAGCTGTGGATTCCAGCTGCGTTCGTAGTTCTGCAAACTTTGACCCCCACAGAGTCGAGCTTTTCAGTTCAATCAGCTGCATTTCAATGTCGTATTAACTGGCATTAACTCAGCCAGTTGATGCGAGACAAATCCAGCTACTTATTAAAGCTTTCTGGTTTGATCAGAAAAGAAAACAGTGGTTCATAGACCTGAAAGTTCCGAAAACACATTGTGAATTCTGTCTCAAGTCTACGGATGCATCCATGCATTTCCCTATTGCTGATGCTGTGCTGAGCGGACAGCTCCTGAAGCATTTGAAGTGTCAGAATGTGGATAGCCAGCAACGTCCCTCTCACCAAAGGCTAAGTTATTTTTAGCCAATTACAGGTTGAATCTTGTAGTTGGGGTTGTTAGCTAAGATAGAAGCAGCACAACTAATGTGTCTATGCGAGCTTATTTGCGTTGTGCACTGCTGGCCCGGCCATTTATTTTTTTTATGCACCTTCTCAGATGAATTCAAAATATTCCCTTTTCGCCTCTTTTTTTTTTTTTTTTTTTTTTTTTTTTTGCCTGTCCCATTTGGTTCTTTAGCCGTCAGAATTGTTGTCTGAAGACCAACAAGGATACCCAATGGATTTATTTTGCCAAATG